GTCTTTTCTCAGCGCAAATTTCTCGATCTATGGAAGGTTTTAGATGGTTTAGAACAAAAAGGAGAATATACGTAAGTACCGGTTCCTGACGTTCCGGTTTTAACCGGACTTGAACCGAAACTTTTTACAAGTCCAGTACCGGTTCGGCGTACCGGTACGCAGCACTAGCCACGAGCGTTAAACCCCTTTCCTATTCAATGAAACACATTCAATGTTTATTTATTGTAAAAGCAATTGGGCTATTTTAATCTCACACACACACACACACACACACACACACACACACACACACACACACACACACACACACTTCTCCGCCTCATTCTGTTTTCATTTACTCGTTCGTTATCTGACCAGCTTCAATCTTGTAGGCTACTCACTTCGTTTCTTGTAGCCCTCGAAAGGGTTAATGTGAGTTGGCTTTCTTGTCCGCAGCAGCAGAAAGCCTTTTCGAATGTTTGAACGAATCAAAGTGGGTCGTCACCGTCGATTTTCTCTAAGACTTATGCTCCAACACACAGTTGCACGGGGTGCAGAATAGTTTCNCCCCACTTTCGTGAAAGACATCGGGGTACTGCTTTACCCGGTCTTTAGTAGAAATGTTCGTCGGTAAATGAGATGGATCAGATTTTTTCATCTTGGTGTTTTCTCTCTCGTGAGAGTTTCACACGTTCACTCTACGGTGTTGTTTACCTTCTGTGATGCGCGAGCTGATGACGTCATCATCATCACTACTTCACGTCAAGACGAGTTAACTTTTTTTTTTCTCAACTTTGTGTGGGAAAATGCGGCCTTTTGATAAATATGCGACCTTTTCAAAATCTGCACCATTTTGCTGATTATGCGGTAAATTCTGCGATCGCAGAATCGCGTTTTTCTGGAGGGTCTACTATTTCCATCACAAACATTCATAGTTTGAGTCTTTTAGGAACACATGTGAGCCATTCAGGGAAGGATTTGAGTCTTTCTGTTTTCTCTTGCTTTCCAGGTGAAATGGAGGAGCTGGAAGCCCAGTGGCTGACAGGAATTTGCCACAATGAGAAGAACGAAGTGATGTCCAGTCAGCTAGATGTGGACAACATGGCCGGGGTCTTCTACATGCTGGCCACCGCCATGGGGCTCTCCATCATCACCTTCGTCTCTGAGCACCTCTTCTACTGGAGGCTGAGATACTGCTTCACTGGAGTCTGCACCAGCACGCCCGGCCTTCTTTTCGCCATCAGTAGGGTAAGGACCCTTTTTCTTTTACAGGAGGTTTTTTTTGTGTGCATGTGAAGGCATGTCCTTCAAGCAATTTTAAGATGTGTTACGGGTGTTGGGAATGTGTCTTGTTTAATAAAAGCAGGACACACTTAGAACAACAGTCTTATCAATCAAATCAAATCAAAATGTATTATAGCCCCAAATCACAAGAAATGCCTCAAAGGGCTATACAAAGCAAAGACAAAACCAAAATACAAATGTCAAAGCATAACAATTATAAAAACACTATACAACATTATACATCAACATAAGTATTGGGAGGGTGTGGCTCAGTGGGTTAGTGCGCTGATCCTCGAATCAGATGATAGCAAGTTTGAGTCCCACTGCAGTCAGCATGTCGTTGTGTCCCTGATAAAAGCATGTGACTGAAGTGATGGTAATGTTGAACGGAAACAAGGTGATGGAATTTAGTTTGCAAGGAAGACAGATCAGAAGAGATGGGTTTTAAGTTTGCTTGTATGGCCTTAGAGATACACCACCGAGACAGCCCACTTAATGTATGCACATGTGAGTGATGTTTGGGTGTGTGGTGGTCTGACTAGGTTAACAGTAGTCATGTTTATTTTTGATTTAGATATACTTTATTAATCCCCGTGGGGAAATTGTTTCTCTGCATTTGACCCATCCTAGTGTTAGGAGCAGTGTGCTGCCATTTTGAACGGCGCCCGGGGAGCAGTGTAGGGAACGGTGCCTTGCTCAGGGACACCTCGGTAGCACTTGGTCTTGCCGGGACTTGAACTGGTGACCTTCCAGTTGCCAAGCCAAGTCCCTATGGACTTCCCATAGCCGTTTAAGGCTATATGGTCCAACAATGCACTTCAACTATTCTGGGCGTTAGTGCTGCTTTATTTGGGTCAGACAGGCCTATCTGAGTTTTATTTTCTTCAAAGAGAGAGCCTGAAAACACAAACCCACATGCAGAGAAAGAGAGCTATACAGCTAAACCAGAAAAGTGAGGAGAAATACGAGCGGAGGAGGGAGGGCTGCACAAAGGAGGATGCAGACGGGAGGGGGGAATCACGAGGCAGCCCTGAATACAGACAGAAATAGATCCTAATTGCGGCATGTTTTTGGGGCGAAATCACGGCAACCCACACTAAATCAATCTACTCTCTCGTACTCCGCTGAAAGGTCAGCATTCTCCCTCGTTGTGTGTGAGAACAGGGAACATGGACGTGCATCCCTAAAAGCACTGCAGTGTCTGTGTGCACTGCTTTTCGAGGCAGAGCGTGACTCTGTTTTCAAAGTTAACAAAGGGGGGGTGGTTAGGAGACCAAAAACTTTTAGAGAACGTAAACGCAGGTAGCTGAAAGAGAAATGACTTTAAAGCCGTCCTCGAGTGATTTAGGGCAGAATACATCCTTAATGGCTTATCTTGTGGTGATATGCTCCACGAAATGTGTGCTGAACCACAAAGCACTTTCAATTCGTTAACGTTATAAACACATTTTAAGGATGTATTTCTGAACTGGGAGAATGTATCTTTCAGTAACTTTTTGAGAGAATTAAGCATAAATCTGGTAAATGTTCAAAACAGCCTTGTTTCACTGAAATAGCCTCAAAATCACAAAGAATGTATCTTTCAGTAACTTTTTGAGAGAAATAAGCATAAATATGTTAAATGCACTGAAATAGCCTCAAAATCACAAAGAATGTATCTTTCAGTAACTTTTTGAGAGAATTAAGCATAAATCTGTTAAATGCACTGAAATAGCCTCAAAATCACAAAGAATGTATCTTTCAGTAACTCTTTGAGAGAAATAAGCATGAATCTGTTAAATGCACTGAAATAGCCTCAAAATCACAAATGTTTCATTTTAAAAAACAGGCTTTTTACGATGAGCCGTAAAAGAAAGTGTGACATTACTGTTTGCTTGATTGGCTGTTAGTCCATAAACAAAGACTGGCTTTAAAAACCTCCCTCCCAATCAGAGTGAAGGCAATTTCCTCCTTATTGTTGTTTCCTGTCAAAAAAGGCTCAGGTTGAAAAGTTTCTTT